CAGCAGAAAGCAGCGAGAAGCTGCCGAAGGGCTTTACAGAAATGCAAGTGAAAAAATGCACGGAAAAGGATGGGATCACTTGCACACAGATGGGACATGGGTTTCTTTTCCCAGACTCCCTAACAGCCAGCCATGACAATGTGCAGCCACAGGGCAGAGTCTGCCATTGGTGGCTGAGCCTGTGATGTTAAACGTGTGAAAAAAAGAAAAAAACCAAGTGATAACAACTGTAGACCAGTTAGCTTAAAGCCATCTGAGAACTGGGAATTTCCCTTGTGTTGCATCTGGAAGTTAGTTGTTGTATGTAATAGGGGAAAAAAAAATCAGGAGGAAATAACATACACTAGAGATCATGAATATAAATAAAGCAGCCAAAAGGAAATGAATGGGAATAGAAAACATGAGCAAAGCTATCACTTTTTGTGTTCCTGTTTGCCTCCAAATTGCCTGTTTGGGATACTGTTCCAAAACACACTGCACGCGACTAACCTGACGTTAGTAATTCCACTGAGGACAGCACTACTACAAGATTAATAGACTAATGGGTATTATCTTTCTACACATTAGCTCATTGGTGATTAAACTTATACGTATCTTTTTTTTATTGTTTGCACACAAAAGGTTTTAGGATTCTTCATATTTCCCCCAGTGTGAATATCATTAACTGCAGCAGTGGGGAAGATTATTAATTGCTTCAGTGTGTCTCAGGTCCTCCACTAATCCCTGCCTTGATTTTGTGGGACAGAGCACGTAGGTATCAGAGACTGGGGACAGTGGAGACATGATGACCTAATTGGTTTAACTGGAGAGGTGGATGAGAAATGCTTCCAGGCTGCCCCCATGGCCCTAGGGGCGGTGGTTTTGCTGGGATCCAAGCTGTACAGAGGCACGGGGAGAGCTGGGAGAACGGTGGGGACCTCTCTGCAGAGCCGGTGGTGGTGGTGGGGTCTCCCATGGAGAAGGTCCGCAGTGGCCAAGACCTCTGGAAGGCTCTGGGCTAGAGAGGGGCTCTGCTCCCCTCTGCCCCTCGCAGCCACAGGGGCTCTATGGCTCTGCTGATAGACGAGAGCACAGGGGAAAAAAATGTACAAGGGCACATGTATCTTCTGTATACATAACTGTATGTGTAATTATTCCTTTCCATTTGCTAAAGGAGAAACACTTTCAAATTTCTTACTATTCGCTGCTTCTTTTCATGCTGCTGTTGTAACCTTTTGTTTAATATCCTGGTTACTATCAAAGGTTTATGGGTTAGTAGACAAAATTAAAACACACAGCTGCTAAAATGCAAAAGAAAGCAAATGCAGAATAAGCACATAAATAAACTATGTGTGAACACTGGCCAGAAAAAAACAAACACCAACGTTTCAAAATACTTGCCAAATCATTGAAAAATTAAAAGCAATATTGTGACACCAAGATCCTGCATAGCACTTATCAGAAGGCTATTAACAAAATCTTAAAAAGCTATAAAATGCTTAGCTCGTAGCCCAGTACTTTGACCACAGGGAAGACAGGCTGTGCAGTAGCAAACCAAGAAGGCTTTGATAACTTAATGTGAGGACAAATATTTTCCAAAGCATGCACAATTTATTAAAGGAACATACACTTACGGCGTTATCCCCTAAAATGTCCAATTTTTTCATCAGCTCTGCTACTACTATGTCCTAACAAGAGAGAAATGGAAAACCAGGAGTCAGAACAGAATGTCTGATTTTATTTAGGGAAAGGAAAATATGAAACGAGAATCCCTTACTGTTACACCTTCTGCCTCGCAGTAGACTTGGAGAGGGCTTTTCCCCTCTGTAAAAGGACCATGGTGGAAGTTGATGGCAGGCGATCGTCTTTCTCTCTCCTGAAATTACAATAATCCCTTGGTTACCCACTTCGGTATGTCACAAATGACAGCCTCACCAAGAACTTGATAAATACGGTTTGAAAAAGGCCCACTCTAACTGAACACATTGCAAAGCAATGCTACTGCAGCATGGCTTTATTTTGGGTGCAGGGAGCACAGAGAGCCTTTCTCCTGCACCCTGTGGCTCTTTACACTAGCAGCCAGGAGCAAGAGCCATTTCTCTGGCCAGACCATGTGTTTTTGTGATGTTATTTAGGGCTCACAGGGAAGACCTCCCCCTCATTGCAAAGCAAGGTGGACATACATATTAGCAGCGCTAATATTTTCCCACCATGCTTCTTCATTGGGCACTGCTCATGACGATTTACCCGTTATTTTGACTACATATTTGAAAAAATCTATACACTTATACCTACTATAATATAGATAGCACTTAATTTTTTCTTGTAAGTGGCTGTTTTGTTAATCACTCTTTGGAAAATTTGGAAAAGAGCTTTCCAAGAGCTTACAGATTGTGTTTATACAGGTAATGATATAGAAAACGGAAGGCTCAGTGGAGTAACTTGAGCGGTCGAGGCCACATGATTCTTCTCTGCAGGTTTAGCAAGAGGTGAAACACAGCAATGATTTTTGGCAATGAAAAAAAAGTTCCTTTTTTTCTTTTTCTTTCCCATGTATAATGGTCGAGGCCACATGATTCTTCTCTGCAGGTTTAGCAAGAGGTGAAACACAGCAATGATTTTTGGCAATGAAAAAAAGTTCCTTTTTTCTTTTTCTTTCCTATGTATAATCTGTTCTGGTTTTATCTCTTTGCATTTTCAGGACAGATGGAGTATAGTAAAACGTGTATCTACATCATCCGCCAACCTTCTGGATCTTAAAATTACTTAAGTAGCAGGACTGCCAGAACAACCCATCAAGAATACCGGCATTGATCCCTGGATGTTTAGGGTTTTTTTCTCTTTAATTAGCACTTTGTACCAAACCCTTTGGTCTTGTTCAGTGCAATGTAGCTCTTCACAGTAAACATGGGCAGGTTCCCAAAGCCATGGTGCCCCCGGTCACGGCTCGCACAGCCCAGGGCAGGCGGGCAGGACCATGTCTGCAACACGTGCTCACTTCAAGCTCCAAGATCCTGAATTCCAGGAGCTCATTTTGATCCTTAACGTCCTGGACATCGTGTTTTAAGCGAGCTTCCTCAGCTTCCATTTGTTTTATCTGCAAAATAAAGCAACATGTTGTTAGCACTGTTTGCAGCATCACTCGAGATCCGTCACGCGTTGTCCATGCCAGGGAAACCCCAGAGTCAGCACAAGCACCAAGGGTCCAAGCCCACCCCCCTGGGATCAGCATGAGCAGGGACATGTGGCATCAGTGATGAGGGAATGCAGGGCTTTTCCCCAGAGCCTCTGTCCTCATGCGACCTCGCACCAGGACATTGTATGGGGCAATAGGGAATGCCAGAAAACCACTTTTTCTGGCAGGTTTATAAGGTTCTTGTTATTATACATTAATTACTTCCAGTAGAGCTGTGTGACACAGATTAAAATACTGTACCTTCTGCATTCCTTAAGCTACAAGTGTTATCTGAATAACACAAATAGAAATATTGAACACCTTTTCTACCAGTTCTTGATTTCTTCTATACAATGCTTGCTTCTCCTCAATCCACTTCATGTCCTGGAAAAAGAAATGACCACTATTGTAGGTGACGCTGGCAATGTTTAGCACAAACACAGTAGCAAGTATTTCATTCAATCACACATATAGAGAAGAGGGACAGAATAATATTGCATATGAAATTGTAATTCCATTATTTCCTAAAATAATTCCCTAAGCTAAAATTTTCCATCTTATTTTAACAGAGTCTGTATTATACAAATGGAATAGAAACACTCCAATGATTAAAAAACTCTTTCAGATAGAAAATTGGTTTGCATTAAAAGGGATATTTCTAGCTATGTATCTACTATTAAATTTCTATTACACTGAACATAAATTACATATTTCTGAACATTAGGCAAAACAAACCTTACTTTGAAACTAATTTTTTAGTTTGATGAATGTATAAAAACCACAAAACCCAGAACATTATTTATCAGCAAGGTTAACAATAATAAGAGGTTCAGCTGGAAAGGTAACGATCAAATGATTTAGTATTAAAGTTCTCAAAAAACATTTTCTATTACTTTTTTTTTTTTTTTGATCTGGAAAAGTAAGACACAAGCTAGAAACAGCCTGGAAACACTGAGAAGTCGCATCGGGATTGTTCTATACATCCATAAACACTGGCTAGCACCTGCAGTATTATTCGGTAAGGTGAGCAGGCACGTCTCTAGAGCCCCCTCCCGCTCCCAGCACGAAGGCTGGGGAAAGGGCCGGTGTTCGGCAGCATGCATTACCTGGCCCTGCTCAGCAAGGGCCTTCTCCAGGTCTTCTATCTGAGCCTGAGATCGGTGTATTTCTGCTTGGAGCTGCTCACGGGTCTGTAGGATACGAGGGAAAAAGAAAAAAAAAATAAAATCAAACTTTCTCTAAAAGACAAAAGCTAACACAGGCACAGAAAATACTGAAAATGTCAAATACTTTTAACAAATGATTTTTAAAGTTCTTTGGCAGAATAAATTTGCAGCTAAGGAGACACCATTAGTCATTAATGATAAAAAGAAGTCTGTAAGATAGGATAATAATTTTGAGACTTAAGCCAAGAGTAACATAAAGAGCATCCTATTAGGTAAATAGTAGGACAGCAAAATACAAATGGCTTCTTACAGCTGGTTAGGAAAGTCTGCAGTTAGCAGCCTTCCCTACTCTAGAACAAGGCATTTAAAAAGGCCAGTGTAATGCAAAGATTCATTTCTCCATGAAAACAAATGAAAATTAGTACGGCACCATTCTGGGCACACCTGTTCCCTTTAAATTTTTGATAAGTTAAAAAGCTCAGAACAGACCCTACATATGTAACCTTACAAACTGGCAAACTGCATTGCTCTTTATGCATTTAGTACCCTACTTTATGGTCTTACTGTATTCTGTGTAATTTTTTACTATACCTGTAGCTTCATGCTTATTTAAATATACACCACCTTCCTACATGTGTTTTCTAGAAAATAAATGCAATTTTTATTAGCTGTTTTATTTGTTAAATATTGTTTTATAGAACATTTTCTTTCCTCAAACTTTATCTGCTATTTTTGTTGTTATTTACAATGAAAACGATCTTACTTGTTTGCGTTACCTGTGTCATTCTCTCTTTTTGTCTCACTATGGAAAAAGTAAAACCAAGTCACTTTTCAAGCTGAGCATGTCTTATTTCTTTAGGATTTTCTTTTCATGTGCAATCCCTAGCACTTCAGAGCAGAGCCCATGCTTCTGAGAACGTTAGTTTTACTGCAGTTTGGACATTCAGAGAGAGTGAGATGACCTATGATTGCCAAACAGGGAAGTTGCTGGGAGAGAAGAGATGCTGCTAAATCTGGCTGGCTGAGAGGTACTCACCAGGGAAGACAGTGGTGAAATCAGTAGCTAATTCTTTGAATTATTCAGTGGAAGAAAACCAGACTAGTTATATACTAGGAAAGCCAAAATATTATTGTAAAGATGGAGATGAGATACAAGAATTTGGCTGTTTGTTTTGTGTGTAATTGGAGCCACGGAACTGCCCGTGGTTGGGACAATCACAGCTTGGTGGTCTGTGCTGGTGGGCCACAGCTGCCGGAGGCGTTCCCACCGGAGACAACAGGTTGGATGATATGGGTGTCTCCCAGCATTGTCATCCTCATCTTGGACTACTGCACGTCTTTCTGGACAACCCGTTCACACAACAGGTACAGAGCCAAATGAAGACTCTGCAGTTCCGTTTCTCCTATTAAACTTCAAACTGTTAGCTCAGAACAGAATTTGTCCCTTTATTTACTGTATTCACCTTTGCATTCTGTGCACGGTAAGTCCTGCCAACTCCCTGTGATGTACAACATACTCATAATAAATGTAATGTTTTATGCCACATGTCTGAAGCCACACAGGCTGTGTGAGGCAGATAGGCAGGCAGAATAGCATAGGACACTTTGCAATTTAATTAAGAAAAAGAATCTCATCTATAAGCCTTCTAAATATTTTATGAGGAATCATGTAATCTTACAGAACCCAGAAGGAATTAACTACCAGGCGTTGTATATTTAAGGCTAGCTGTCCTAGATTTTTATAGAAAAAGAGCTTAATTTTAAGGATTTCCCATAAAAATTCTCCCTGAATTTCTCTTAAACTGATCAGAGGTGAAAAGACTAAGGTGCAGTACTGGCGGTTCCTCCAGCAAACCAGCCCTTCCCAGGGAAAGCTGGACAGGCTGGCTGGCGTCAGAGACCCTGGAGCCCACCTTGGCAGCCAGCCCAGCCGAGTCCCTTGCCCTGCACTCCCAGCCGGCAGCGTGCTGGAGGGGCTGGCTCACCCCGGTTTAGCTTGAAAACAACCTGAGCAAGTACAACTGGAAACCCCCATACAATTACAATCCTTTATTTTCATGTAATATAAGCCATTTAGACCTTAACTTCTCGTTCTGCATCCAATGTTCCTCCGACCTGTTCTTGCAATAGGGCGTATGCTCGTTGCAGAGCCTGGTACTCCATCGTCAGCTGTCGAAACCGCAGCTCTGTCTCTTCCTTGGCCATGCCCTGGAATTAAAAACACAGATGCACTGTACCAGCTGCTTTTTTTCTGCAATGAAGGTACAAAATATTATAAGAGTGGATTATGTTTTCTTTCTCTAAGAAGTGCTAAAATTGTTACTTTCAAAATGCAATTTGGGAAGCACAGTACTAAGGATCTTGTTTATGTGCCCTCAGACTACTTCTTTTTTTGTCCCTTAAACATCTTTTGCAATCATTTATTTCAAGAAAACTCAATACAGAAAAAAAAAACCCCAAAACATAATTCCCCCCACCTTGGAAAGTTAAAAACTTGCCACCCACGTAACATACTAACGACTGAATTGCCCTTTATTACTGTAACAGGCAAAGTCATCACATTTAAAGGTGAAAATACAACTTCTTGAAACAACAAAAGGTTTCCGATCTGGAGAATAAGCCAAGCCTGACAGCCTCACTGGATTATTAAAACACTAATCTAGAGTTAATACTTGTAGAAATGGTGACATCAACATGAAAAGAGCCCTTCATCTTCTTCGCTCTCCTTACAGTACCCAGCATTGAATGCTTTCATGTCAGGTTGACAGGAATATTTCATTCGACATGAAATGAAATTATACTGCTGGTTGCATGCATAAACAGGGAAAAAAAGGTCAATACAGGAATGAAAAGTAAATAGGTTCATACATATAAAAATACATTCAAATTTCCTGCAGTGCAGCACACACCGGGTAACCAGTCATGTATCTTTTATGATGGAGATAGGAATTCTTTAGGTTCCCTTTTAACAGATGTAATTACAACCCATGAAGCAGGTGAAATGGCAGATGAAAACTCGCAGCCAGCATACCACAAAAAGGCTGCACATCGGTATTAGCAATTTTTTGTTTATCACACGATCCTTGTTAAACCCAGAAACATGTAATGGTACAGTGATCTGACATGTAATGGTACAGTGATCTGACACACACTTGGGAATGCACTGGTAGGGAAGCCCTGCAAAATACCGGGAATAATAACCTTTATTTGTATTACCAGCTACCTTTGTGTACTCTGCATTCAGAGCCTCCAGAAAAGTCACGACCTCAATAGATCGGTGCGGAGACAGTCTTTCCTCTGGAGACTGGGGCTTTATGTGACTGCTTACTTCTCCTTCCAGAAACACAGATCTTATCACTTACGGCTGTGCTCTGTGCTGAGGTCAAAATGACAGACAGAAGGACCTGAACCAAACTACCCACGCACAAACTCGCAGTAAATCTCAGTGTGAACAGATCTTCCTCGGGTTGTCTGACTTCTCAGTCCTTTTAGGCCTCTAACCTATAAACCTATTATAAATCTAATATTCTTAGGGTATAATATTTCCAGCTTGGCTAAAAATTGTGAAATTACTGAAGATTTGAGATCCAGAGGTATTAGCCAACATGCAGAATATTAAATTTAACATAGATTTTTAATTTTCTGGTCAGAGGTGATGGATGATTGATATAACAGACTAGGAATTTCATTAAAAGTTAGTAGCGAGGTTTCAAAACAAAATAACACATATTTTTGATCAATACCTCTTCCAAGTCATCTTCAGGAGTGCAAGGAGTTTGATCCGTCCGGTCAGTTTGATACGAGATAGAGGAACCATCAGACTCCAAGGAAGCTTCTTCATCGTAGCCAAAAAACGTCTCCACAACCGGCTTCTGGCAGAGACAAGGCGTCAGCGAGCGCAGCCACGCCGCGCAGCAGCGGTGCCATCAGCTGCACCAGCCCGACGGTGTTGGGGGGACAGCGGTGACTTTGGACACATGGCTACACTCTGAACCTTTGCAGGATTTGGACACATATACCTTCGGAGGAACCTCAATGCCAGATTATTGGTAATTCTCGCTCTGTTGCTTTTTGAAAAATTAGTCCAGTTCTTTACACATGCATATACATACCAAGTTTTTTCACCCCATGACAGTGCTCTAATGAAAGCTAAAACTATTCAAATCGCTGAATTGCCACATTTGTTATTAGGTATCACAGCATGCAACCTCAAAGCCCCTGTCTTTTTTTAATGTATTTTTCCTCCCAATTTCTCTAGCTAAGGCAGAGCACCCTTTTTACTTCTTGGTGTGTTCATCTCAGCATGAAGTGGGAGTCGTGCATTGAAATGTCTTTGTTAATCCATTGTCATCACCACAATGTCCCTCCTGTCATTATCGCAACTGTCACATGAAAAGTTAGATTTTCAAGAAATGTTCTACTTGTAAATGTGAAGTTAATCACCACAGCATTGTTTATACAGTTTGAAGAAATCCAGTTTTCCACTCAAAGCTGCTTTCTGTTTAAAAGAATGAGGGTAGTGGTGGTAAGGAAAGATTTACTGTTAAATGCCTGAAAGCCAAAGATGACATTTCAAACACAGTTCTAAAGATATTTTTAATTGTTGATTTACAAAAACATTTCTAGATTTTGGCTTTTTGTTTTAATTTGCAGTGGATAACTTCTGAAGGAGCCAAAATGTAGCTATCTTTTAAAGGCCTGGTTGCCATTTGCAGGATGAAAGGAGTTAAGGACTTGTCTCACATTGACCGCAGTTTGTTATTTGTAGATTCATTAGCTCCAACACCACCTTAATTCTTCATATGTAGAACACGGCTTGCTCTCAGGTCCCTGACTTTATACCTTACAATGTCATTACAGTGTTAATATTTATATTAACATCCTGCCAAGTATTCATTAACTAACATTTTCTTTTTCCCTGAGCTCTAACCAATGCTTCTTGTAACCAGCAATTTTTGCATGTTACTAAACTCCATAATGAATTATTTATAACCTACATATGTTTTTAGGCAGTGCCATTAAAAGATCATTTTGAGATGTGTTAATTCACAAAATCTGTCTCATCTTAAGACAATCACATACCACTGAAGTCCCACGGGATTGCTCGGGATAAACGCAGAGCATGCAAGCACTCGTAATGTGCGATGCAAACGGTTCCCCTACCCCTACCAGATCTTTTCTGAGTATCCCAATACAGTCTATGAATGTCTTTGAACTATGTGACCCAAATTTAAGACCAGGACCTGTTTGCAGACCCTTGAGGAGAACGTTCCCCCACCTAGCTCCGAGATGCTTGGCGGACCCTGGGAAGCCAGCATGCCCATCAGCATGTCATGATAGAAGCTTTTTTTTACCTTAGGAATTCTTGTCATTTTTTTCCTTTGCTTCCTATACCTTAATAGCTTATCACGTTCCTGAAAGAATCAGATACATACATTAGCTGTTTTCAGAGTGCTGTTACTCAAATTAACTATTTCATTACTAGTAGTCATTGGGCAATCACGAAATAGTGATGTCAGTGCTGGCCAGAGCCCCAAAATGAAATAACCATGCTTTCATCAGTCAAACGTTAGCTTTACTCCAACATCTTCCAAGTTTGCTATATACAAGTAGCAATTGCTCTTTATATTGATGAAGATCAAAATAGCAAAAGAAGGGTGATTATAATCAATACAGCACACTGATGGCTTAGGTGTCATTTCACAGCTGCTCTGCAAGCAAGCCTGTGTGTTCAAGCTCACGTTACGGCTCCTCTCCGGCAGACGGGCTGTCTGTCCAGGGGCGAGAAGCAAAGACTGACTCCTGCCCTTGGCTCTCGGTGCCGCGGCTGTTAGTGCCCTCTGGAAGGTGCACACATGCAACAGCCCAGCTACACAAAATTCAGAGATTGAACTCAGCACTTTCCATCTCAGCTTACTTCTCTGAGGATCCACATGCTGCCAGCGCCTCTGAAAAAAGGTTTGAGCATTTATTGCTGACAGCAAATTCTTCTGTTCAGTGGAAATTAATGACACTCTTCATAGAGTCATGCCCATTTTTTATAGTACTGAAAAAAATTTCTTCATTCTGGATTGAAATTACAAGCAAAGTCCAGAAGTTCTAAAGGGAAAACCCTTATAATCTTTAATTTTAACCAGTTGGTAAAAGGATGCAATGACATTGTGGGACATTGATAATGTGCCACTATCATCAGCCCAATGGCATATCCTAACATCAGCAGCAGTGACAGAAAAAAATCGAATACTTGTTTTGCTGGGCAACACAAGCTTTGCTGCATGCTTGGCAATGAAGAACGAAAGAGTACACATTTCATCAATACATATTAGTGGCTTAACTTCACAAAATCTTTACCAATAATAACAAAGGGATGAGTCGGGCAAGGGCAGTGACTGAGAACATGCCAGTATGGGAGAGACAAAGCTAGTGGTAATCAGACTTAAAAAAAAATGCAATTCCAACGTGGGACAGCTGTCCTGGGGATAGGGGACACTGGTTCTCGGCCGTCGGGACAGGATGACCACACAGAGCTTTGCCCCTGAGGTCATCCTAGTGGTAACAAAAAAGCTTTCCTCTCTCACCAGAGCTTTCCTCTCCACTATCACTACATTTTTCTCTGGTGAACAACTGCTGATACGGCCTTTGATAACATCTACGCTGAGAAAAACACTGTGTTAGCTTGCTGCCTGAATGGAGATGTAAGTGATAATATATATTGTTATACCCTGCATGCTTTTCATGAACAGCAATTTAAAGCACACAAAGATGAGGATGAAGTTAACATCATACTTACCATGACACTCTTCACATAGCCAGCAGTTTCCAGTGTCTAATGAAAAAGAATGAAATAACGTCAGTAAGTGTACAGACTTTAAAAAAAAAAAAAAAGGTATTTTCTTGAGGAGTATTATGATTACAATATTTTCTGTTTCCAAAGACTGAGAACATATTAACAAAGAAGCAAAAACCCAAACACAACATTGTGGAGCACCGCCCTTGTACACAGCAATCTTTAGCCCTGATGTTGTCTCCAGCTAAAGGAGCTCTGAGATTTTCTCTCGCAGGTGCAGGATCTGGCCATCAGCATATCTATTGGATGTGCTGCAATGGTTCTGTCATGCAAATACAATGTAGATTGAAAGGATTTTCTGATACTATACCACAGATAACTTCTATTCAGTTCAATTACTGGTAATCATAGAAATGCCTACCATGTGTCACTGATGCAAGCTATGCCCGTTAGCTGACTGAACCCCAAGCACCCGTTGCTTAGGCTGCCTGTTCTGCTATGGCCTTAGTCGACCTCGCATGACTGTGGCAGTATCACATTTTACCTTGGAGAGTTCATCAATGATATTTTGCTGTTCAATAACTTGTAGTCTCAGGAAATCAACTTCTCTTTCTTCCTGGCTGTGGTCAAGGTCATTTAAAGAGCTTGGTCTCCTTATTGTTCCAGCTCTTTGCCTCTAAAAAAAACCCCACAGAGCAGAAGAGGAAATGATCAGAAGGCTTTGCCAAAGTACAGTGCATAACCCTTCCCTTTACAGCTACTGAGGCATCTAATCTAACGGCTGTTCTGGCAGCTATCCTGCTTCCCTTTTGCTGAGCGTTACATCTAGACTGCAAATACACTGGGTGTTCCTGCTCCTCAGACTGCCACATGAAGCTCTCAGTCATCGGAGAGGACAGCGGGCACGTGGGGCCATCGCACCCCGCCTGTTAGCCTGCCAAAGATGGGAGCTAGCGGCAGCTCAGCTGCACGTGGTCTTTAGTCCTGCCAGGACCTGTGTGGCTTTCTGAAAGAGGGAAGATTTAGATGAGATATCAAGAAGAAATTCTTCCTGGTGAGGGTGATGAGGCAGTGGCACAGATTGCCCAGAGAAGCTGTGGCTGCCCCATCCCTGGGAGTGTTCAAGGCCAGGTTGGATGGGGCTGTGAGCAACCTGGTCTGGTGGGAGGTGTCCCTGCCCATGGCAGGGGGGTTGGGACTGGGTGGGCTTTAAGGTCCCTTCCAACCAAACAGTTCAGTGATTCCATGATTCTCCTGCAGGAAAGGAACTCAGAGAGTTGGGACCAATGCCGCTTCTCTCTGGGTTGCTCTCATTCATTTTGAGCTGCAGCAGTCCCAGAGCTGCAGCACGCACAGGGATGACCTCCTACATTCATGCAAGGCCACAGCTACTTGCTACCAGCTATCACCCACTAACAATATTCAACTGCAAAAAAAGGGAAAAGTCACAAGTGCAGGTTTCCTAGGGATTAGGAGGTGATTCTGGTACAAAAGTCAAAGGTGAAGTGGGGTGATTTGTGCTCATGTGGAAGCTGAGCAGCCAGTGACTGAGCAGTTGCCTGATCAAAATGTGCAAAGCTCACACAATGCCTTTTCTTCAGAACTGTTTGTTTTTAAAGCTACAATAAAACATTTTATGTAAAACTAAACATGATCAAGCCACAAACCACTCAGTAGCACACCACAGAACATTTGAGAGAGTACTGGAAAGAAGAAAGTTTCCTATTGAACTTGCCAGTTTGGGATAATGCCTGACTTCATCAGCCCTCTGAGTACTAAATTACATGTTCTTCTTGAAGCATAGAGAGACTTACCATTGCTATATTTTCTTGTGTTACAAATTTTAATTTATTTTCCATTCGACGTAAGGCATGTGACAATTCTTCATTCTTCCTACTAAGGCGTTTATTTTTGTCCAAAATGGGCTTATACTGACTTTCAGCTTCTCTAAGACGTTTTAACTGAAAGAGAGAATTAACACCTCCAGAGCTGTTATTTTTCAACAAATATATTAATCATTTTCTTTAACTATCACACTAGCAGTAGTTTCTCCCAATGAAAAGCAGAATTGATCAAAAACTCTTGGTATTTTCCATTGGGAAGCAGATCATTCCTCCTTCATGAGATATTCAGTCTGTGCAACAAGTGTATCATGTGGGGAATGTATTTATCTTTAAAAATAAATAAAAATAATCCCAGCTAACGCCATCTTAAAAATTCATTGTTATATGAGCAAAGATGAGTGTGATGTGGCATACCACCAAATACAGACCATAAGGAGGAGCTAGCTACTCCTGCAATGATTTCACAATGGCACAGGGGAAAACACTGCAATATTGGGGGTAAGGCATGGCCATGGCAGCTCATTCACAAGCAGTCATCGCCGCGCTTCGCTGCTGCTCTCACCAGCTCGTTTCTCTCCTCTGACAGCAGCGCATTCCGGTCCTCCAGCTTCCTGATGATGGCACTCAGCTCAGCGATTTTAAGTTGGAAACGCCGGGCATCCTTTTCATCCAACTGCTGTTCCTAAAACAAAGATCAACTGCAAATAACTGTTCATAAGTGTACACGCAATATCAATATTTTTCAAAGCTAAAACTTTTTCTTATCCCAAATCCAAACATTTCAAAACATTACGCGGCAGAGTGTAACCTATCTAACCTAACTGATCGCTGAAAGCTGCAGGATGAGACCAACGGAAAGTTAGGAGTGAAAATGTAACAAAGTATGCAAATGCAGAAGTATGTATATGCAAATACAAAGTCACAAATGGTAGACTTGGAAATAGAAAATAAAATACCAAAAATTAAGGCAATGTTTCCAGTGTATGCACTGTTGAACTGAGTGCTTCAGACACATCACCCACTCTGAGGACTTTGTTACAAGAAAATGATATTAAAAATACTGAAGTACAAATGGGGAAAATCCATGCAATTATACTATTGCACAAGCTCTTCAACTGTAAAGCTGTGGCCCTTACTGGGTTCTAAAGGGTCACTCATAAAGCCAAAAGGAGAGCACTTTATCTGAGTGAAAATACTTAAATCAAATTACAAATTAATAGAAATATAGGTAGATGTGTTCTCGTTCAGAATCAGAGAGGATTACATCTGTTTACAAATGTGACAGACTTTTTCCCCTTCTCTAGGACTTGTTCTGATGTTTGGCAGAAGTTGGGTACGAATTGAAACAAGCAAATTAGTGTCCACAGTGCTGGTGGCACTTTTGGGAGGTCTAGGGTTCCTCATTCAACAGGTGCAGGAGAGGCTTGGGACAAAGAATAAAATAGATTGGATTGCTCATGTATAAGTATTTACACTTCTACGGAGAAAATTAAGGCTGTTGCAAAAGAAATCTTGATGAGAATCAGCAATGAAGAAAATTTGCATACATCAGATATATGAGGTCAGTTAACTGAGGGGTCTTTAATATTAGCAAATCAAGGCAAAAGCAGAGAGGTGCCATAGTTATATTAAAAAAGGCATTGTGAAAGGGTGACTAAGATTTAATGTTCTGGATATTGCATTGTAGAAAATAAATAGGAGAGAATAGGTTAGCAGGTATTTAATTCACTTTCTGGTCCACTGAAAGCGAGAGCACGTAGCAGCACGAAAGCCCGGGCTAGCAGCGGTGTTCCAGGAGGACTGCGGGATTTCCCGCGCTTTCATGCACCGATTACCTTCCCCCTTTTCCCTTGGTAAACCGGCCTCGTACAGCTGCTCACAAAAGCCATTGTTAGCAGTTCCAAAAGCTAGCACACATACATTACTTGGTTAGAAATGCATTTGCATCATTTGTTGGCAAAATTGTGTCAAACCATCAAATTAAGGCAGGTGGCAGAAGTATGGTACAGTGAGGAAAAGGAAGAGAAAAAGAACAGAAAAATTTCACCCTGCTAACAAAACCAAACCAAACAAACCAGAAAACAAAACGACAAAAAAGCAAAAGCTCTCCCATAACAGGGCTTGATTTTGAAATCTCAAAGGTTTGGCTAACAGACGAGAGCGAGAAATCAGTGCCTCGGGGTTTCCCCTGCACAGCTATGGGAAAGCTGTTGCTCCAGGGTGCACTCATCAAGATTCTGTCACTTTGTGCCATTTTGTCACTCTGTCTGCTCGTTCGTTTAGGTGAAACCACGTGAAAGTGCTTACGGGGCTTCCCGAATGATCTGAAGCGTCTCCTGCACCACTTGCATAAGGAAGTTCCCGCTTGGGGCTGCTCAGATGCCGATCAGACTCTTTGATCTGGGAAAGTTGTTCATCTAAAGCCTCCTTTTGGAGCTGCAGTCTCTGAGCATGCCCGGCTTGAACCCCTAACTCTCTCTCCAGCACGTAGACTGCTCTGTCTTTAAACTTAATCTCCTCCATCTACAAGGAGAACAGAACACAATCACACAGGCAGGCAGCGGCTTGACAACAACAGAGCATCTTATGACCCCAAATGCGGCCAGAGAACAGTTGCACAGAGCCGACACCCCTCAGCATGGCAAATACAACAACGGTCTCTTGGCAATAGAACAGCATTTGACAGTGAACATATGAACTGAACC